AGCCGGAATCGCAGTGGACGCGCCCATGCCAGCCGGAAGAGTTTTACATGCGAGTTACTATTGCGGCTGCTGTACCTCGCTCCTCGCCGAACGAACATGGCTTGCCGTTCGCTGATACCGGCGGGCGTGCACGCGTGATTGCGCGTGTCGTTGCCCGAACCGGCATGCTGCGTGCTGAAGCTTCTAGGATCCTCGAATCGTGGGTGCGGCAGCCGGCTCGAACTGCGGGCTATCAGATGGCTGGATGCTGACGCTTCGCGACACCCTACCGGTCGTTCTTCCGTTCAATCATAACGCGGCGATGTCTTCTCTGAAGCCGAGTACGTGCGTGCGTACTAGACCCGCGAGGTACTTTTGAAGCTGCATGGAAGGCAGGCGCCGTTCTCAGGGTCGACATGAGAAATCGAGACACGAAGGGCGAAGTGGCGTCGCAGCAATAAAGGGCGTAGTACGTTTCCCACGCTGCTTCTCTGAGTTTTAACACCCCTGTATCACAAAAAATACACATCGAAATACATCTCGTGGCACAGCTGACCAGATAACGCGAAGGAAAAAGGAGATACAAGAAGGTCTGTCCTGATGCGAGACTCCCTACCAACTGTGAGAGACGCAAAAAGAAAATAGAATTCAGCTCGGGCCGGCAGCACGAAGAGGACGGACATACTCGTAAGCCTCAGTGTGGAGGAATATCTCCTCGCACCGGCTGTACCCGTCCGCGATGTCGAGCTGGCATTCCGCGACGGCGTTGCGCACGTCGTACATGAACGCTTCGGGGCCACACACTGCGCGCCGCACAGACGAGACCACAGCGGGAAAACAGAAAAAGTACAGCAAAAAAAGAGAGAGAAGAATCGTGGTCAGACATGCAGCATATATACGCGCGCGGCGCGCGGCACAAAAAGCAAAGACGCACCTGCAAACGCGACGCGCCCGCCGAGCCTCGACGCACACGCCTCCCGCACCAGCCTCGGCAGGTCGGGGCGGTCCGCGTCGGTGCGCACCGCAGTCTTGTCCGACGAGCCACTCCCGACCTCGACCTCCTTCACGTCGCTCGAAAAACTCTCGATAGACTCGAGGTCCGCGTTCTCGGCCGTCCGGGTGACGTGGACGTGCGCGGAGAAGTGCACGCCTGCCGCCGCGGCGCGTGCGGCTGCCTCTGCGATCGCGGGCTCGAGCCAGCGGCGGGTGCCTAGGAGAGGATGAAGTGGTGCTCAGCACGAGAAGAGAGAAATGGTGCGGAGCGGCTGCGGCAGCCAAAAAAAAAGGAACGCACCTGGGTGCCGGAAGGCGACGACAAACTCGACGTGCGCGCACCTGCCACCGCCCGCCCCGAACCCGCGCGCGAGGTCCTGCAGCAGTGGGAGCGTGAACGTCGCGCCTGCATCCGCACAAGTGGGGCGTCGTCGTAACGTCAGTTAACGTGGTCATGTGCGCCAGGAGGCCCCAAGGGGACGACGCACCGCTTCCGCCCGCGAGGAGGTACACCCTGTCGTACCCGCGCAGCGACACCGGCAGCCCGCCGTACGGCCCGTCGAGGAGCACGCGGCCGCCGCCGGTGCGTCGTAGCGCCGCCTCCTGGAGCGTCCGCGTGATGCCGCCGCGGACGCGGAAGACGATTTCAACGGCGCGCGTCACTGTGCTGGAGTCCGTGTGGCCCGACTCGGACGCGGACGCGGCGGCGTTGGCGATCGTGAACGGGTGCGTGCTGAACGCGCTCAGGTGCGACAGCGTGAGGAAGCGCAGCAGGACGTGCTGGCCTGGCGACCAGCGGAACCGGGCGGGCACGGTGATGGTGACCTTGACCATGTCGGGGTCTGAGAGCTGCTCGAGCGTGTAGGGGAGGCCGAACGAGCTGTTGTAGAGCGTACGTGACACCTGGATGAGCCATGCGGTGGAGTAGATGGCGAGTGTGGCCCAGAAATAGTCCCTGTTGCAGTGTTAGATTGTGGAAATACACATGGAAGTTCACAAACCAGGATGTGAGACGGAAGTTGCAATGGATAAAGAGCGCGACCATGAATATTCCGGAGGCACTGTTTACTGCCGTTAGTGGAGGGATCAATCGCTCTGGAAGGAGAACGCACCAGAAGTGCAGCTTCTTAAAAATCTCATAATACCGGCTTCTGATAATCCCCCACGACATCAAAACGAGCCAAGTCTAGAGAATAATGAACTGTCAGTCGATATCAGCGTTATTCGGATCGAATATTACTTGAGGAATCAACGCCGCTATTCCCGACCAGTACCAAGGAGTAGTCTTGTACATGTGGACCATATCTCCCATGTCGATGTTGGTAACGATGAACGGGAACGTATGTAACAGAGAAGTAATATCTAAGAAAATTCTCTGAGCACCATTCGCTTGCGAAGAAAGTTGCGGGGCTGCTTACACATTAATAGGGCTGACCACCGGTGGAATACTTGAAGCCTCTCGTGTGATGCGCCGGTGATGATGCCGACGTAATTGACCTTAGTGGCAAAGGCACTGCAAGCCATCCAATCAGACGGCGAAAAACTGGTACAGTAAGAGCTTGACGCACATCATAAACGGCATAATAGCGATAGAAATCCAGCCAGAGCGGGTTGCGAGCGGGGGGCTATGTCCCATTTGGTAGTTTGGCCAGTAGTACGGGCGAACGGCGAGGGCAAACGCTTTGAAAAATCAACGCTCAACGCAAAATCTAGGGGAACCTGTGAATAGATGTAGCGCACCCATGACAAAGGTAAAAATTCCGGCAACGCCGACAACGGAGCCCATGGGTGGTGAGTAATAGCCCAGAGGCTTATAGCGCAGTTGCATAGAGGTGACATAGCGAAAGGCGGCCGTGAATCTGTCCAGAATACCCGCAGCGCGAAAAGTGGATCTCGCTCTGCACAGTCGGTTCATAAGC